CGAGCACAAAGAGAATTAAAAATGTTTCGTCGATTAGTTATTCTTGTTATGGGTATTGCTATGATTGGTTTTCCTTATGCATTGTTTATTTTTATATCATTTTTTACCACACCACCACAATATCATTTTCGAATTGCATACATATTTGTTGATACATCAATGGCATTTGTAATGATTGCTCTATTTCAATTTACAGAACCATTGAAAACATCTATAATGAAAAGGGTAACTAGACAAGCAAATAGATAAATGATTAAATTTGAATTGATGGCAAAATGAGAAAATTTAAACACATGTAAACTATTACCTACATTATTAATTGAAAGTACTGTATTACAAAATAATCTGATTTTGAAAAGATTCGAAATGTAATTAATGTTTGTATATTCTTATCAGTTTACAATGGTTCAGTTTTGTTCATGTATTCTTTTTTTTCTATCGACAATTACGTATATATACGAGTGCATATATCAATATGAAATGATCTTAATACTAGACTTTTATTATTTCTAGAATAATGTCAAAATCTTTATTATTTTTTCGAGTTTCAATAATCTTCTAGTTGAAAAATAATTTGATTTATCGTAACTCTTGAACATCTTTTTCAAGATTTTAAATTTTAATAATCAATTAACAACAATCTGTAATGTCTTTCTACTGATTATATAACTCTTTACTCGAATTGAAATTATGGTGAGTAATGATAGTAATAGTTATTGTTGTTAATAAATGGATGTTGAAGATAGTGGGAAAGGAAAATGTTCGCTAAATATCGTGGTACAAAGAGATATAATTAGCATTTGGTACTTTCTTCCTTCAATTATTTAACCTTACGACATTATGAAATTTCTTAAGTGGAGGATCATTGTCGCTGTGCAATCAAATGAATAACACGCTTGTCGTTTGCAGAAAAACTGAAACGAAGAGAAAATATGCTAGCTTTATTCAAATGTAGATAGAAATATTTGCATGTGTTGTTATTTTTTCATATAATGACATATTTGCGATACAATCTCTGTTTAGTGTTGAAAAGACCGAATAAAAAGATTTTTTTTTTATTTAACCTCGAAACATGAGAGAAAAGATGATCCCTAGAGAAAGTACTGAGTTCAGGGTACCCATATACTGAGAAAGCCTCAGCAGGGTACCCGATATGGGTACTTCGAAAATTTTCAGTAATTATACTGACGTAGGTACTGCATTGGGTACCTATTACAGTATGTTTACTGAACAAGTACTTGCATGAGTACCCACACCTGTAATTTCACTAGAAAAAGCTCTACAGGGTACCCTAGATTTGTTGCGTTCTGTGTAGCAACTGTTCATTCACCGTTTTCTTTTGCATATACGGCTTCATATAAGCAACTCGAGGAAGCATAAGAAAAAAATATTTTTTCATACTAATTTTTTCTAGATTATTTTTCTTGATTATTTACTAGTCGAGGACATGCTGATCTCAATCGTAGATTGAGGGAGGACTACCTTGAAGTGGTCTGATGGAGATCCGACCAATTCGCGTCCGGTCAGATCTCGAAATTTGACCTGCTTGACTTTTCAGAATTGGAAAAATTAAATTAAATAAAATCGAAAAAATATCATAAATTGCT